ATACTGGGTAAAAACTGAGATTTACATAAATGAAAAAAGAAATGTTAAGAAATGGTAAATATGTGGGTCAGAAATATGTAGAAATTAAATCACACATTTCCAAATAACTCGTGGATGAAGAAGTCACAAGAGAAACTATAAAATGTTTTGAATTGAATAATATTAGAAACACGACATACCAGAATTTGAGGGATGCAGCTACTAAGTTACTGAAGCAGTGTCGTATGGCTATAATTTTTATATTAGGAAAGGCAAATAGTATAGTCTGTGGTCTAAATATCCTGCTTAAGAACCAATAAAAATAATGCTAAATTAAGCCCAAAGCAAATAGAAGGAAAAGATGATGATTAAGAGTGAACATTCATGAAATATAAAACATGAAAACAAGAGAATTATAAACTTCTAGCAATATTATTCAGGAGAATACTAATAGGAAGAAGGAAAAATATCACTATAGATGTTCCAGCATTATGGAATAATTGAGGAATACAAATTGTTCTCTGTATTCCCAGGTTGTGTATCTGTGTATCAACTAACTATGAATGGAAATAGTTAAGAAAAATATAGCAATGCAATAATAAAAAATATGAATCAAAAAGCATAACAACCATTTATATTGTACTATTATAAGCAATCTAGAAATTTAAAGTATACGAGTGTGTATAGTTTATATGCACATGTACATCATTTTATATAAAGGACTTGACCATTTCCACAGATTTTGGTATCCTCAGGAGGTCCTGGAACCAATCCTCCATGGATACTGAGGGATGACTGTATTATGAACATCTATATGCTAATAAATTTAACAATTTAGGCTAAATAGGCTAATCGCTTAAAAATCACAATTGACCAAAAGTAACACAACGAGAAATAGAAAACCTGAAAAGCCTGACATTAAAAAGAGATATTAATAATTATAAACTTTTCCACATAGAAAATTTTTGACCCAGATGGCTTCACTGATTGATTTTATTGAAACTCAAGGAATAAATTATTTCAGTCCTACATAAACTCCTTAAGAAAATCAAGGAGGAGGGAACACTTCTCATTTTTTGAGGGTAGCATTAGCTTGATTCCAAAACCAAAGATGACAAGAAAACAACAGATTCATATCTTCTTTGACTATAGATGCAAAAAAAATCCTAAATGAAATAGCTTTTTTTTTTTTTTTTTTTTTTTTTTTTTTTTTTGAGATGGAGTCTCTCTCACCCAGGCTGGAGTGCAGTGGCGGGATCTCGGCTCACTGGAACCTCCGCCTCCCAGGTTCAAGCAATTCTCTGCCTCAGCCTTCCGAGTAGCTGGGATTACAGGTGCCCGCCACCACACTCAGAGCTAAGTTTTTTGTATTTTTAGTAGAGATGGGGTTTCACCATCTTGGCCAGGCTGGTCTTGAACACCTGACCTTGTGATCCACCCACCTTAGCCTCCCAAAGTGCTGGGATTACAGGCGTGAGCTACCATGCCCAGCCTTGAAATAGCAAATAGAGTCTACCAAACTATAAAAATTTATAATGACCAAATGAATTCATACCAGGAGGTCAAAACAGAGATGTAAGTTTGTGATGTCGACGAGTAGTTAGTACCAAGAGAAACTGCATTCAAAACCACTTAATTTAAACAGCTTGTACTCGTTTCCTTTAGTAAGTTAACTGGTGGCTGCCTGCAAGCAAGGATGGGAATTGAAGGCATAATGCTACCTTTCTGGGGAATGAGTGATCTCACTATCCAGGTTGTCTCTACCCACCAATGTTTTTGATCTTTTCTAAAGATAGGGACCCCATATTATGGCCAGCTTGTGGTGGTCTGTGATCAGTTTTGCACACTCTAGAAAGATTCAGGGAGTCAATGGCAGACCAGGCTTATATGCTAACTGGGGAGTTGGGACACTCTGAGTATGCTGGTGCATTACCTATATGCTAATTGGATATACCATAAGTTATATAAACCATTAATATTGATTGTATAAGTTGTTCACATAAAATGTTTGACTTTGGGGTATAACATGTTGATCTTGTTTAAGCAATTTAGCCGTATATTTATCTGTAACATCTTAATTATTAACAATCTTAATTTTTAAAGAGAAACATGTCTTCTACGAAGGAAACATTTTTGTTTACCACGTATAAACATAGCAAACATATTTTATTCATTCCTATTAAAATGTAGGATAAGTTACCCTCTATGGAAAATTTATTTCAGGCTGGGCTTGATGAATCATGCCAGTAATACCAGCAATTTGGGAGGCCAAGGCGGGCAGATTACTTGAGGACAGGAGTTTGAGCCCAGCCAAGCCAACATAGTGAACCTCGTGTCCACTAAAAATACAAAAAATTATATGAGTGTGGTGGTACACACCTGTAATCCCAGCTACTCAGGAGACTGAGGCACGAAAATTGCTTGAGCCTGGGAGGTGGAGGTTACAGTAAGCAGAGATCGCACCACTGCACTGCAGCCTGGGTGACAGAGCAAAACTCTTTCTAGAAAAAAAAGAAAATTTATTTCATATATCACAGAGTATCTAATATGATTTAGTTTACTTAAATTTAATCTGTTGTTGCTAGTTTTGTATATTAGTATAATATAGTATATGAACATAACAATGATTTTTGTAATCCTAATTTGAGTATCAGAATATTTTTACAAGACGTACAATGAGTCCTACGACATTTTTTTTCCTCTGTTATATTTCACTGTTCACTGATCATTAGTATTATAGCTAAACCAAATTGCATGTTATAGGGGAATTTTCTAACTGGAGCAAAATTTAGAGAATGTTTAAGATCATCTTTGATTGCCTTATGCTTACTTCCATGCCATACTTCTGCAAGTCCTATCAACTTTAAAATGAACCTTGAATCCATCCTTTATCTACATATTTTTGTCTCCCCTCCCATTCCCAGTCAAAGTCATTTTTATATTCAGTGTTTTAGTCAGAAGGGGCTGTATTTAGAGTTACAAATTAACATCCTAATCTCTGTGGTTTAACACACCAGAGGTGTACTGTGGCTTACATATGGTCCATTGATCTGGGCTATTCTTCCCCTCCATCTTGTAGCTATACTATCTGCACTAGTGGCTTTGAAGATCCTCAGGTGAAGTGGAAATGACAATGTCACTTTTGCTTACAGTCCATTTGCTCAGAACTAGTCAGATGGCTCCAACGTAAATGCATACAGCTGGGAAGTATAGGGTAGCACGTGAAATATTTGGAGATCACAATTATCTGTATCACACCCAGATTATTATGATTAACATCTTAGTTGTTTTCCTTACTTTCTCTCATTTCCTACTACAGTGTTTTCTTCACCTAGTAGCCAAAGTTCTTGAAAAAAAATTTGTTACTACCTTGCCAATAGTTTCCACTTTGTTTTAAAATCCAAACATTTTATTCTCATCTATACAAAATACTACATGCTAGGGCATTTGCCTTCTTTAATTTCATGATTGGCATTTAGTGTTGCTAACTGATATCTATGAATAGTGTATTTTGAATAGGCATTTTATTTTGTTCATAGTTATGAAAACGTGATTTCTAAGTGTCAAATTTGTGAAACCACAGTAATGACTATAAACAATATATAGAATACCAAGAGAAATCCTAAATCATATGGCATCTTTAATCACATTGTATGCAATTAGAATCCTTAAAAACAACAGCCTTTCAGAAAGATCGCTATAATGTAAAATTCTGTTATAATGAATAAATTCTGTATAGCAAAGTCATACTAATGTTCTTCTGTTTATCTGACAGCAAATGATTTCTTAGAATAAATATTTTCTCTGATTAATTTGAAAGCTATTCCATCATGGTCCAGTGCATTTAAAAAAATTAATAAACTGTTTTTTAGAGCAGTTTTAGGTTCACAGCAAAACTGAGTGGAAGATACAAAGAGTTCCCACACATCCCCTGTTCCCACATGCCACAAATGCACAGCCTTTCCCACTATCAATATCGCACACCAGAGTAGTATATTTATCACAATTGATGAATCTACATTAACACGTCATTGTCACCAGGGTTCATCATTTGCATTAGGGTTCACTCTTGGTGTTCTATAGTCAGTGGGTTTTGACAATCAATCAATTTTTAGATAAGTTTTTAATAGAGTTTGTATATGTTGCCATTAAGTCATTGTTGCCTTGCAGTTATATCTTCAGTTTCTGTCTTTTTAAAATTTTTTGGGCAATCTGCATCTCCTAATTAAATATCACACACACATACCACCCATAATCCCCAATAATTTTTCTCTAGTTGTGGTGCTCTTGCCAAATGGTAGAGGCACTAGCAGGAGCTAGGAATCAACTCTTATTTTTAAATATGCATGAAACATAGGCTTTATATAAATTCTTTGTGATCTCTAGGTTGTGAATCTTAGGAATCAGGTTTTTAACAAACTATTCCTCTTAACAAATTTTTCAGGGTCTATGTATTTGGTATGCTTATCTGAAATGTAGCAAAGTATTTATAGTTTTGATAATTTTTGACAGTTTAAAAAATGATTTAAGTAATTATCTAATAATAATGCCTATTTTTGCAAGTAAAAATTACTTATAGTAAAAATGAATATGCTACAGTTTATTACATGAATTTAAATTTAGCATCATTCAAATGGATTGTCTGGTACTTGACATCTACTTACATATAAAAGTTTTATGGAACAGTTTTTACATGGTGTTTGTATTGTCATTCATGTTTCCTTTTCTTTCCTGGTTTATCCCTGTTTAAGCCCTTCTGCATTGATAAAGAATTAAATAGCAGAGGAATTATCCTACTACAGGGTATGTAATATTTAATGAAAACAGGTATTTGTGGGGTGGAAAGGTAAGAAAATTATATCCTTTTCTTTGATAAGAAGTTAATCTGCCATTCCTTCTTCCTTTAATTACATGTTGTAGAAAGGAAATTTGCTTTTATGATGGGAGTTAAGGAAGTTATTAAGCAGTATCTGTGAAACTTGATTGCCTTTGTGCTTTGACAGTGTTTGTTTTGTTCACAGTAACTGTAGTACTGAATGGAAGTGGCTTGTAGACAGAGCAAGAGTTGGCAGCCGATGGACTTGGCTTCAAGCCCAGATTTCAGAGCTAGAATACAAAATCCAAAAACTAACAGATGTTCACAGGCAGATTCGTGCTTCCAAGGTATTGTTTGTGTACTTCTACTTTTGTTAAAAATTGTTAATATTTTCATTCCTTCTCATTTCATCACAAAAATAATTGTTACAAGATTTTATAAAAATGTAGCCAGTTTATGTTAAAATTTTTGATACATTATTATAAATTGAAGCTATCTTTGTAATGCCTTTTTGTATTTAATATTATTTTATCATACTTTTTGAGCAATTCAGAACTTCCTTATTGGATTCCAGTTAATGTAAGTGATAAACATTTTTTCAAATTCTTGATTGTAAAATACATATAACAAAAACATTACCATCTTAACCATTTTTGAGTGTATAGTTGTGCTGTTAAATACGTTCATAATGTTATGCATCTGTCACTATCTATCTCCATAATTCTTTTTACCTTTTAAAACTGAAGCTCTATACCCATTAAATGATAGCTGTCCACTTTCCCTTTTCTCCAACCCCTGACAACTATGTCTGTATCTTATGATTTTGACTATTTTAAGTACCTCATATGAACAGAATCATAACAGTTTTTATCTTTTTGTAACTAGCTTATTTCACTAGCATAGTGTTCTCAAGTTTCATACATATTGTCGTATATATTAGAATTTCTTTCCTTTTTGAGTAATAATTTATTGTACCACATTTTGCTTATTCATTCATCCATTGATGGACACTTGGATTGCTTCCAATTTTTGCTATTGTGAGTATGCTATAAACATGGATATAAAAATACTTCTTTGAGACTCTGTTTTCAATTATTTGGGGTAAATACCCACAAGTGGAATTGCTGGATCATATGGTAAATCTACTTTTAATTTTTTTGTGGAAATACCATACTGTTTTTCACAGTGGCTGTACCAGCTAACATTCCCATCAGCAGTACACAAAGGTTCAGATTTCTCCAGATTCTCGCTAACATTTATTTTCTGTTTATTTTATAGTAACCACCCTAATGGGTGTGAGATGGTATCTCATTTTAGTTTTGATTTGCATTTGCCTCATGATTAGTGACGTTGAGCATTATTTCATGTGCTACTGGTTTTTGGATATCTTCTTTGGAAAAGTATTCAAGTCCTTTCCCCATTTTTCAATTGAGTTGCTTGTTTTTTTCTTGTTGCATTTTAGTTCTATGTATATATACATAGTAGATATTAATTTCTTTTTTTTTTTTGGAGACAGAGTCTCATTTTGGTGCTAGGCGCCAGGCTGGAGTGTAGTGGCGCAATCTCGGCTCACTGCAATCTCCACCTCATGGTTCAAGCAACTCTTCTGTCTCAGCCTCCTGAGTAGCTGGGACTACAGGAGCGCACCACCATGCCCAGCTAATTTTTCTATTTTTTTAGTAGAGGCAGGGCTTCACCATGTTGGCCAGGATGGTCTCGATCTCTTGAATTCATGATCTGCCCGCCTCAGCCTCCCAAAGTGCTGGGATTATAGGAGTGAGCCACTGCGCCTGGCTAGTAGATATTAATTTCTTATCAGATATATGATTTATAATTTTTTTGCTATTCTATGTGCTATGTGTTGGTTTTTTGTTTTGTTTTTTGATTTGTTTTGTTTTGAGGCAGAGTCTTGTTCTGTCACCCAGGCAGGAGTGCAGTAGTGTGATCACTGCTCACTGCAGCCTTGATCTCCCGGGCTCAAACAATTCTTCCACCTCAGACTCCCAAGTAGCTGAGACTACAGGCAAATGCCACCATGTCTGGCTAAATTTTTGATTTTTTGTAGAGATGGGATATCCCTCTGTTGCCCAGGCTGGTCTCAAACTCCTAGACTCAAATGATCCCCCTAACTCGGCCTCTCAAAGTGCTGGTATTACAAATGTAACCTACTGTGCTCAGCCTTGTGCATTGCATTTTCGCTCTGTTGATATTTTCTTTTGCTGCCCAAATTTTCAAAATTTTTGTGAGGTCCCATTTGTCTACTTTTTCTTTTATTACCTGTGTGCTTCGTGTCATATGTAAGAAATCATTGCCAAACCTAATGTCATGAAGCACTTACCCTATATTTCTTCTAAGGGTTTTGTAGTTTTAGGTTTCACATTGAGGCCTTTGATCCATTTTGTGTAAATTTTTGTGTGTGGTGTTAGGTAAGGGTCCAATTTCATTGGTTCATTCAGATATTCAGTTTTCCCTGGTTGAAAATACCGTTTTTCCCTTGAATGGCTTTGGAACCTTTGTCAAAAAACATTTGGCTATATATGTTAGGGTTTATTTCTGGGTTCTCTATTCTATCCCATTGGAATATAGCTCTGTCTATATGCCAGTACCACATTCGGTTTTTTTGTTTTGTTTTTGAATTTCTTTTCTTTTCTTTTCTTTCTTTTTTAAAAATTTTTATTTATTTATTTTTTTATCGAAACAAGGTCTTACTATATTCAAGACCAGGCTGGTCTTGAACTCCTGGATTCAAGCCATCTTCTCACCTCAGCCTCTCAAAATGCTAGGATTATAGGCATGAGTCAGAGTACCTCACCAGTACTACATTGTTTTGATTTCTGTAGTTTTGTAGTAATTTTTGAAATCAGGAAATGTGAGTGTGAGTCTTCCAGATTTGTTATTTATTTATATATATTTTTGAGAAAGTCTTAGTCGGTTGCCCAGGCTGGAGTGCAGTGGCACAATATCAGCTCACTGTAACCTCCACCTTCCAGGCTCAAGCGATTCTCATGCCTCAGCCGCCTGAGTAGCTGGGATAACAGGCATGTGCCACCATGCCCTGTTAATTTTTGTAGTTTTAGTAGAGATGGGATTTTGCCCTGTTGGCCAGGCTAGTCTTGAACTCCTGGCCTCAAAGTGATCCACCTGCCTTGGCTGAGATTATAGGTATGAGCCACTGAGCCTGACCCTAGATTTTTTTTTTTTTTTTGAGATTGTGTTGGCCTTGAGGTTCCATGAGATTTTGTATGATTTTTAGGATAAGTTGCTTTCTGTCTATAAAAGGAGTCATGGAGATTTAGATAGGAATGCATTGAAACTCTAGATTGCTTTGAGTAGTTTTGACATCTTAACAATATTAAGTTTTTTAGTCCATGAAGGAGGGATGTGTTTCCATTTATTTATATATTGTTTAATTCCTTTCAGCAATGTTTTGTAGTTTGTACAAATCTATCAACTCCTTGGTTATTTATCTGTTATATTCTTAAGTGTTTTACTCTTTTTGATTATATTATAAATAGAATTGTTTTTGTGACTTTCTTTGCAGGTTGCTCATTGTTAGTATATAGAAACAGACCTGACTTCTGTGTGATCTGGCTACTTTGCAGAATTAATTTATTAATTTGAACATATTTTTAAAGGAATTTTAGTGTTTTCTACATTTAAGATTATATTATCTTAAAATAGAGATAATTTAACTTCTTTCTTTACAATTGGGATGCGGTTTTTTTCTTACTTATTTGCTTTGTCTAGAACTTCCAATAGCATGTTGAATAGAAGTGGTGAAAGTGATCATTTTTGCCTTGTTCCTGATCTTAAAGGATAAATGGTTCAGTCTTTAACCCTTGAGTATGGTGTTCAGGGGGTTTTCATCTATGGCTTTTATTATGTTTAGGTAGTTTTCTTTGATTACTATTTTGTTGACTGTTTTTTTTTTTTTTTTGAGACGGAGTTTCGCTCTTGTTACCCAGGCTGGAGTGCAATGGCAGGATCTTGGCTCACCGCAACCTCCGCCTCCTGGGTTCAGGCAATTCTCCTGCCTCAGCCTCCTGAGTAGCTGGGATTACAGGCATGCGCCACCATGCCCAGCTAATTTTTTGTATTTTTAGTGGAGACGGGGTTTCACCATGTTGACCAGGATGGTCTTGATCTCTCAACCTCGTGATCCACCCGCCTCGGCCTCCCAAAGTGCTGGGATTACAGGCTTGAGCCACCGCGCCCAGCCCGACTGTTTTTTATCATAGGAAGATGTACAGTGTTTTTTAAATACCTTTTCTGTATCAATTAAAATTATTATGGGGTTTTCTTTCTCCCTCATTCTCTTTTTTTGGTTTTTTGTTTTTTGTTTTTTGTTTTTTGAGACAGAGTTTCGCTCTTGTTACCCAGGCTGGAGTGCAATGGCACGATCTCATCTCACTGCAACCTCCGCCTCCTGGGTTCAGGCAATTCTCCTGCCTCAGCCTCCTGAGTAGCTGGGATTACAGGCACACAGCACTATGCCCAGCTAATTTTTTGTATTTTTAGTAGAGACGGGGTTTCACCATGTTGACCAGGATGGTCTTGATCTCTTGACCTCGTGATCCATCTGCCTTGGCCTCCCAAACTGCTGGGATTACAGGCGTGAGCCACTGCGCCCGGCCCTCCTTCATTCTCTTAATGTTGTATATTGCATTGAACAGCTTTAATACTGAACCATCCTTGCATTCTAGGAGTAAATCTCACTTGGAATAAATCTCACTAGGTCATGGATTATAGTCCTGTTAATATGCTGCTGAATTTGGTTTGCTAATTTTTGGTTGAGGATTTCTGCATCAATATTTTCAAGGGATATTGATCTGTAGTTTATTTTCTTATAGTGTCTTTGCCTAGCTTTCACATCAGTACAATGCTGGCCTTATAGAAGAAATTAAGAAGTGTTTCTTTCTCTTTGATTTTTTGGAAAAGTTGGAGAAGGATTGGTATTTGGTCTTCTATAAAAATTCGGTAGAATTCAGCATTGAAGTCATCAGATTCAGGACTTTTCTTTGTCAAGAGAGTCTTTTGATTACTAATTTAATTTTATTACTAGTTATAGGTCTGTTCAAATTTTCTTTTCTTTTCTTTTCTTTTTTTTTTTTTTCGAGATGGAGTTTCATTCTTGTCACCCAGGCTGGAGTGCAATGGCATGATTTTGGCTCACTGCAACCTGTACCTCCTGGGTTCAAGCAATTCTTCTGCCTCAGCCTCCTGAGTAGGTGGGATCACAGGCATCCGCCACCACATCCAGCTAATTTTTGTATTTTTAGTGGAGACGGGGTTTTACTATGTTGTCCAGGCTGGTCTCAAACTCCTGACCTCAGGTGATCCCAAAGTG